TGTCGGACCCAAAGGCAGTCATTTCTTCCTTGGTCCAAGCCCACCAGCAGGAAAACTTCTTCAACAATGTACACGACTCAAATGCGTCGCTCGCCAGCAGCTCACGGGACTCGACTCGGCCGCAATCGAGTCACGTAGCTGCAGAAGTTGAGCTTAGATTAGGAACAGGGAACAGGCAAGAGAAGTAAACAAGTCATACCTCCCGAAGTCTATACGTCTTGAGGGATGGAAACTCTCTCGGACGTCAAAACTTCTTCGTCGATTGCGGGAGGGGGGAACGAAGAAGAAGACGAAAGCCAATCGTTGTACAGAGATGGATTTCTCCAGGAACTTCGCGACGAAGAAACCATCGGCATACTGAATACTGAGGACGCGTGAATTTGATCTTGGCCAAAGCCCATGGTCATCTTGTAAGCGGTCTATGGAAAAACGACACAAAAATATTTCCGAGTGAGTGCCAAGACGATTGAAACTTCATTATTACCTTTGCTCTACCCACCATGGACAAAGCGTCGACTGCAATGCTCTGGATAACACCTCTCGCCCTCGAAAGCCTTCCTTGTTCGGAAACTAGTGGCCTGCAAAAATTTATTCGTGTTAAATTTACACAAATCCAAATGCAACTCGTGGAATGAAGCACTTTCCTGTCCGCATTGGCAATCAAAGGAGCCGACTCAACGTCGTCTGGCTTTGTCGCTTTGAATGCTTCGCTAGTACCTACAGAACAAACTTGTGTTACTTTCCCTATTCCTTGAAAAGATAGAGCAAAGAGATACGTACTCGATGACCCTTGAGGTGCTAACAGCAAAATGCCCAAGAACAAAGCAACTATTCCCACTATGAACATGCAGACCCTGAAACCATCAAAAACCTGGAGCCAAAAACTTTAACCAGATGAACAGCGAAAGACAGTACCCGGTATTCTTGGAAGTAGACGAATCCAGTGAAAATGGAAAACGTTGTCCAGGAAATTTGTAGCATGGGCACAATGAGGATTGCATCAAACATAGAAAGTCCATCGTTCAGCCGCACCATCTGCAGGCGCAACATTCGGAACTTACGTCAAAATAAAGCAAGCGCATCTTACCCAGAACGCAGCCGTGACGAAGAAGAGAGACAGAAGCAAGTAAGTAAACCAGCCATCCAGTTGACTCTCCCCATTCAATGTCAGTCGAAGTAAGATTGATCTGAAAGAGAAAAGGCAGCACTTTAACCAGTTAGCACGCAATATGTGAAGACAAATGCATGCTTACAAGGACTTTGCAAACAACACCGAGTGAGTCCCCACGGCTCCAGAGACAACAGCGTAGCAGAACGGCATGAGGAAGTGCCAGTTGCGGTTAGTGTTTGAACCCTGTTCGTGGACGAGCTGCCTTCCTTTCCTGAAAAGCCTCTAAACATTCCAAAGAGCTAGTAACTTGAGAGAGTATAGTACCTGTATGCAGCGTGGTGAAGAGCTATGATTATCAAAAGCACCGCACAGTATACCAGATACATATGATTTTTGTAGTTGCGAAGCAGCTCGTCTGGAGTGAAAACTACAAAACAGAAAAGGAAGGAAAGAAGCCAAAAATTAGATTAAAAAGGCAAATCACACCTCAAGCTTTCTACCTGGAGACTGATGGTTGCCAAAGGCAACTAGAAACGCATTGCCTACGACAATGAAAGCTGTGGCAAGTATTATTCTGATCACACAAGACAAAAGCTAGCAACAATGTCATGAAAAGTTCTCAACCAACAGTGCAGCCACCTTGATGTCACAAGTTCGTGCAAAACAAAATACGCAAAGCCGATGTTGGAAATAAATTGCACGGAACCGAGAGCCGCAAGCAATGACTGGAAGAACACGAGTTTAAATAAAAATAAATTGGATCCATTCAAAGCCTGCCTGTGCCGCGTAGCCAAAGGAGATGAAGTTAAGGCAGTTGCCAAAGAAAAAGACGATGAGACCTGGGAAAAAATCAAGTAGCCACTAAGAAAAATTTTTTCTTCGAGCTCGCTAGCCAAGATCCTAGATCCCAATGCAAGAAAAATTTACCTGCCCTCCATGCTTGGAACTGGACCACTGATTTCCGGTGTGGCAATTTTCCCCCTTCTGCCGCGCACTCCCTTTCTCTCTAAAAATCCGAGCAAGGGTCTAAGAAATTCTATCTCTTCTCTGCCACTGGAGTTTGGAATCTTGCCTGGTTGTGGCCCAGCTTGAGAAGATTTGTGCCGAGATTAATCCCAATGCTGCCGAGGATGTTGATCGCGGCGCCGACAATCCACTCGCCCATCGCGAAATC